GGAATTTTCCCTAAACGAATGGAGACCTTCGTTCGAATGACACGAAACAGAGAACGAGTTGTACGGGATTCATAACTGTGGGATATTATTTAAAATAGTTGGTTTAATTTGAATTTCGTTAGGAAATAAGCAAGTACATCAGGAAAATTTAAAAAATACTTAAATTATATCAGAAAATAATACTAAAAATTGTAATCCATAAAACTTATTTTTGATATTTCCCCGCCATTAGAATAGATCGGAATATTCATTCTGATCCTTTATTCTGGTTGTGTTTTTTGCGCTGCTTCTTGTTTTTCTTCTGCTTCTGCTCTTTCCCCATCCATCAGACTTTTCTTCCGTCTGTTTCCCTCATTTCGATCGTTGTGTGTTGTGTGTGGCTTTCTCTGGTCTTTTTATTTTTGGGGAAATTTATAAGCGCTATAAAAAATCTGCCACATTGTTCCCGATTTTTACCCATTTCGGATGCTATTTTCGGATCGTTCTTTCTCTTTTTACAGTCCGTGATAATATATGATACAAATGATTAAATAAATTTGATGTCTCTTTGAAGATTGCCGCCTCAGTGCCTCTGTGCGCCACTGTGTTGCATAATTGCATAAATTGATTACGAATTTCCCTCCGGTTTTCCTGCCCAGTTGGGTGCCGCTTGGTCGAAAGCATTTCCTCTAATTTCCCATCATTTCCCGTTTCTCTTAATGGGTTTCCCAAAAATGTTGCCCCAGTTCTCCCCCCTCCCTATCTCTATCCCCATCGTTGGGGCATGAAAGGTCAATGAATTGTTTGTCACCGTCGTCGTCATCGTCGTTCCATCTAATGACCGCCAACTGTGCGGCCCATCTGAGCATCGCATCTCAAGAGAGAGAAATGTGGAGCAAGAGCAATCACACATATGTTTCTGATTGCCCCATATGTGTGTGCGGTTGTGTGGGTGTGGCTGTGAGTGTGTGGCGATGCCTTGCTGCGTCCATTTGTCTGCGGAAGACGGCGGGATCCCAATGCGTGCTGAGTGTTTTGCTTGACGGATTGACTGATGTGTGGGGCTGCTGTTTCTGATGCTTCTGATGTTTCTGCTGATGCTCTTGACTCGTATGGCATCTGTGTTTGTGGCCCCTGTCTCGCAGATCAAGGCTACGGCTACAATGTTGCAAGACGGCCTCTTTTGACAATTGAAAGTTTAAAGAGCAAACACTGGAAGAAAAACTGCAATCAAGAATATAGAAATCTCCAAAAGCAACATTGAAGAGATATGATCATGGAAGAGTGATGAAAACAAGACATTTGATTTTTATTATTCTTTAAAATACTATCTACTGACTAAGCGTATCTTTATTGAACTGTATCTGATATTAAAAAGGAACTCTAGCACTTACTGTATATAAGATGCTTCCTCTACTTTGTGGTCAACTTCTTAGCCAAGAACTAAAAATATTGTTCTTAGATGATAGACGATGCCATTGACGATGGTCAATTGATGAGATCTTTTTGGGGGTTAAACTTCGTAGAAGATATGCGACTTCTCTCTAGAAATGGGTCGGCCTGAAATCATAATTCCCTTGAAGTTGCGAGATCTAACCGATATTCGAATTCATATTCGAATTTTGAACATAAAATAATCCATGCTTTCTCTTCCAGTGTGGCTTAGTAGTTAAGAAAAATAGGACGAAAATAATATAAACTCCGAAGATATTCTTAATAAATGATTTTTGGGGCTCTGTTCTTCTGTACTACACATGTACATATGTTCTTAATTTATATATCATAAATCATTTAAAAGAGTGCACGTTATTTATGCGTTCGCAATTCATGATTCTTTTGAGTAAAAGAACAACGTTCAATGATATTTATTTCAATGAAATACATTTAAGGTCATGGTGCAAGGTCTTGCAAGAGAACAATCCAACAAAATGCAAGGCAAATATATTTATATATGTACATATGTACATATATACATATGAATACCTAAAAATAAATCCATATTTATTTTAATTAAAGGCTGCTGTTCTTCATCCCAGATCCCATGTTTGACAGCAAATTCTGTTGCTGCTGTTGCAGTTGCAAATGGCTTATCGGCAACCTGCCACAACCTGGCGACATTTTCAAACTGTCCGTATACATTTGTGTACGAATGGTGGGAGGTGACTGCCCACATCCGCCACGATGCCACGAAGGCCACAGGCATGTCCATTGTTTGCCCCACACACACAACTCAAACATGGTCCCGCCCACCGCCTTGGTTTCATGCTACTTCCTGCCACCACCTGCCACATTGTGGCTGGCGCTGCGAATCTTGCCCCACGTGTCGTATTAGTTGGATTGAATGTGGACGCAAAGGGCATGGGTTGACCCCTGCCGAGTGGGTGAATGGTGATGGGTGGTTGCCCACGTCCTTTCACGTCGATTCTGGGTCACTTTAAACAGTGTTGTAAAGGATTGACACTCCACGCCCGACACGACCCGCCCCCGCCCTGCCGCCTTCCACCTGTCATATATTCTGCTG